CTTCGAAGTGTCCACCTCTGAGGCACTCTTCTCCTCACCAATGCTGTTGGCTACCAGACTACCAAGCCTGGACTTCTCTCCCACTCCGCCAGTTTCCCCTGCCTCTTAGTGCAATAGCTACTGAAACCCTGTGGCTGGCCTCCTTTGCACATGGCACCTATGGCAGTCTGACACTTTTTGACGGAGTTTGACGCAGGCAACCCCCTCCTGTGTCCCGGAGGGTGCCGGGGTTTTGCAGAGGGAGTCCCTACCTGCATCAAAAACACACTGCAGTCTTCCCTCCTAGCCTGTTCACTCATAGTCTTTCCTGGCTCTCACTACGGTTTTCTGAACCTAGGCCTTATGGCCTGCTGTGAGCTCCAGCCTGAGTTACGGGGGGGTTGCGAGAGCAGGTCTTTTTTCCCCCCATAATCTCTACAGTCCCTCCTAAAAATGCTTGCCCTGTCTTTATCATCTCTTTTCTGGAAAAGAGTAATATAACACAAAGAAGCTTTCACTGTCTTGTAACCTACAGTTGCCACTCTTATCACTGTCCTTTCTCTCTTAGTGGGCTTCTTAGAAATCCAGAGCTACATTCACTATCTCTTCTTCCTTGCCTCCTCCTGCCCACTCTGAAACACACAAAACAAGTGCTTTGTGTTACCAGTGCTCTTTGAGAGTGCTCTTGATAAGGTCGTCAGAGAGGGAGCATTGCTTGAGGCAAGGCTCCTCTGGGGCTTTTGTCTCTCTGGGTAAGGACCCACAGGCCCTGCTCTTCATGGTGACAGGCCTCCAGCCCTCGCTGCCTCGGATCACAGGCTCAGTTCCTCCACTAGCACAGCCCTTCAGGCTCTGTCAGTGTTAAAACACCTCAGAACTATCCTCGAGCTTTAACTCCCATCAACCCTTGGGATATACCTGTCACCCTTCTTCTTCTTCCCCCAGCGAGTGCTGGGCTAGTCCAAGCTGCCTTAACAGGAGAAGTTACAGCGGAGGATAGAGATCAGGCCAGGGCCATGGGGCCAAAGGACAGATCTTTGACACTGGTAGGGATGGTGAAGTGAGGACAGGCTCCCAGAATGCACTGATCGAAGGGAATGAGGAGCTCAGGTTGACTTCCAGTTTCTGATATGGGGGGGCTGGAGGGCAGGACCCCCTGCTAAGCGAGAACAATGAGGAGAACTGACTGAGGCATAGGCCTGAAGTTACTTGACCCATTCTTTCTGGGTGGGAGGAGCTTAATTTTGTTTTGAGTTTAAAATTCTGTTTGTTTTTATTTTAAATTGATTTGTACTGAGATTCTGAGCTACAATCCTGTTAATAATGTTTCCTCATGCACCCGTCACCAGTGCACACTCGCCCCTGGGGTTGAGAAACCTTCCAGGTGACACCTGGCATCCGTTTGAGGTACAGGTGGACACCTGGGGTGGGTCCTGGACTTCGTCATGACGCTAACTGATGTCGTGGACATTGGGGAGTTTCTAGCAGAATTGCCACGATGGCAGGTATTGAAGTCCTGGCTAATCCGGGGCTTTGAGGTGTTAAGCCAGGGATTCTGGGTTCCCAAGTGCGGAGATGGGCAGAGACATGAACATGATAATGCAAAAGCAGTCGGAGTTGTATTTCAGTATACTGGGGTCAACTATCTCACCCACAGAGTGGTCTCTTGATTGTGACCCTGACTTCAGGCAGCAAGCAGTTTATATAGGGTTTTGTTACATAAGCAGTCCATGCCTTATTGTTTCAGAAAAATCTGACTTAGTTACTAAACAAAAGTGTTTTTGCAAGTGTCTAGGGTATGTGTCTGACTCTGATAGGCTTGTGGTTGCTGGGTACATTCTCTATGGCTTCTGGCACATTGTGATTAATTGAGCCCACTTGCTGGGCCCAGGAACCGTCCAGGGGTTTCAGGTTGGCTAGTTACACAATATTTTATTGTTGGGAAACTGAAACTGTTTTATTTCCCTTAACTGAACCTGAGGCCTAGCTGATTTTGCTGATTCCTGCAGCCTGTCATGGCGTCAGTTTTGCCCTTACAGAGGTTGCTTCTGATTTAGGGGATCCTAGTTGGGGAGAGGCCTGTTACGGCCAGGAAGGCACTGGGAGCATGGCCAAGTAAGCAACCTTGGATTCAGAGCCTGGGATCTTCAGGAAAATTGCTGCGGGGTATGAGTGGTGGCAGGGCAGTGCGGTGGCTCTCTGGGGGGCAAGAGCTTGTCCCCCAGAGACAAGGGCCTTGCCTGCTGTTTGAAGAGCCCTCCATGCCCCACTCCCAGCATCCTTCAAGCTCTTCCTCCTCCACTGTGCGGCTGCCTCCTCCCTGAATCCTGCTATCCCCTGGTGAAGCCCACTCGGGGGCTTTTCCAGCCCTTCCTCACTGAGGCCAGCCCTGCCGTCCTCATCAGCACCGGTGGCCTCGGCTTTGTTTGCCTTATGTGGAAAGTTCTGTCTCCATGGCCGGCTGCCTCTAGGGTTCAAGCAGGGACTCGGGATGCTGCCTCTTCTCCCTCAGGTGCCCTCATTAGCATCTTGGTGCCACAGTCCCTCAGAGAGCCGCTTGGAGGTGGCTTGTTATTCTCACTCACGGTGGAGCCTGACGTGTCTGCCTTGCCATGGTGATGGCCGTGAGGGCTGGGACAAGCCAGGGGCTGGCAGCCTGCTCCTCAACTGAGCGACGGGGTTGTATGGTGCCATCACTGTGGGGAGATTCTGAGCAGCACCAGCCGTCTCAGAGAGTACATGGAGACCTCCGCCTTCACCTCACTTATATTTTTCACTAAGGGAATATTAGTTGGTCATACTTGGCAGGCTGCAGAAATGCGGCATCACCCCTAGACAAGTGCCCACGTCCCACTGGGGTCACCAGCATGGGCGTGTGCTCAGCCGTCACCAGCCAGGTGCCCCCTCCACCCTACCCATCACGCCCTTATGTTCTGGGAGCCACCATCCTGGCAGTCCAAGACTTCCCTTTGGTGAGGGTTTTCTTTGTCCATTTTCATCATCAGTTTATCTCCAACAGCTGCGTGAAATCGTATGTTTGTCTTTCCCCATCACTGAGCAGAATTCCCTCAAGTTGCAGTCATATTCATGCACAGTTCTTTTTCTTTCTTCTTTCCCGATAGTCAAGTAGCACACCACCGGATATATACTCGAAGGCTTCTTTACCCGCTCATCTGGCATTGGGAACTTGGGTTCTTTTCAGATCTGGACTAGAGAAAATAGTGCTGCTAAGTAATTGGGACGGGAGTGTGGCTAACTTTTTACATGGAGTTTCTGTATTATTTAGATAAATACCTAGAAGCAGAGTTGCTGGATAATAGGCTTACATTTTTAGAGCAAACTACGGACTGTTTTCTGCAGCAGCGGCTGCCCTGGTTTACCTTTCCACTAATAGAGCTTCAAGTCCTTTGTATTTCTGTCTGGTCCCTGCCATCCAGCACTATTGTCTCTGGTCTTTTTGATAACAGCCATTATCATGGGTGTGAGGTGATACTTCCTTATGACTTTGATTAGCATCTCCTTCATAATAAGTGATGATTATCTTTTCATGTGTTTGTTGGCCATCTCTATGCCCTTTTGTGGAAAGGCCTATTTAGAACTTCTGCACATTTTGTAATCAGGGTGTATGTACGCTTTTCTGTTTAGTAGTCTCATGAGGTGTTTATATAATTTGGATATTAACTCTGTATCTGATACAGAGTTTGCCAACACCTCACATTAACACGCTGCTTTTCATTCTAATGATAGTGTCTTTCATTGTGCCAACGCACTTCAGTTTGCTATAGCTTACATCTATTTTTTTGCTTTAATTTCCCTTCTTATTAGAGACAGATCCACAAAGACATCACTGAGGTGGATGTTGAAACCCTTATCACCTATGTTCCTTTCTATTTTACTTTTTGCATTTTGTCTTCAGATTTGTATTCATGATTTTAATACATGCTGCAACAATTTGTGTATATGGCGTAAGAGAGTGTTCTTATTTCATTGTTTGCATGCGAGGGGGGGGGGGGGCTCAGGGCTCCCGGCCTCATTTATTGAAAATAAGTTCCTTTCTCCTTTGTATGCTTTTGGAAACGTTGTTGTAGATCAGAGTCCAGGAGCCTTGCTCTAGTTTCTCTTTCTGTCTGACTCCCCACAGCCTTCACTTCCAATCTATATCTGGGCTGAAGTTATTCTTCTCCTACCGAGTTCTCATTGGACTTGTGGGCACCATCTCCTCCCAACTTTCCCCTGCCCCCTCACCCCCTCTCCCACCCTACCTAATCTAGTCAGGCAATGAGTCCTTTGCCCAATAGAGCATTGTACTCGCCACCCTCCTGCTAGCCCTTGCCAGGAACCCCCACTCTCTGGGGCTCACCCCTCATTTCTGGGTCCACCTGTGTGGCTCCTTCTTCACTCTCAGCTTGAAGGATGCTATTTGGGAGATTCTGGAGATAATGTGATTGGGACAGAAAAGAAGGTCCCCCCTCCCCACCCCCAAGAGTTGTCTGGTGGAGACAACTGAGAACCAGCGATCTGGTGGAGGCAGAGGCAGCTGCTTTGAGCCAAAGAGTTCATCTTGCACCAAGGGGGTCAGAGTTGGGAGGGGGCGCACTGTGGCTGTTCTGTAGGTGCTCAGCAGTCTAAGAATGCGGCTGGCTTCTTCAAACCAGGGGTTCCCAGAAGAATGGTCTTATACAATTTTTATTTGCTCTGCTTCATTTTAGCCCTGATTGCTCAAGTCAAACAATTCACCAGGGCCAAAGAAAAAAATAATTTATTTGGCAATTTTGCCCTGTTTGCCTTTTCAATGACTGAGCAGAGCAGGGAAATGCCAAATACTGTGCTGGCGCTTAGAGGCTGGCCCTTAAGCCGTATTCGGGCCGTGCTGGATGGCACCATGAAAGCACTGTAGAGGCTGCTGCTAGGCTGTGCCAGGACCTGCTGTTCTCATCTCTGCTCACTACTGGGGCCAGTGTCCTCTGTGAACTTCTTTTGACCCCCTTCCTGGCAGGTGAGGGTCCAGTTGTACATGGAGGATGACAGAAAAATCCAATGGCGTGAAGAGCTCCCCCGCCAATAACCACAACCATGCACCCCCCGCCATCAAGGCCAATGGCAAAGATGATCGCGGGACCGGTAGCAGGTGAGTTTGCTGAGCTGAATCCTCTCAGGGTGATGGGGAAGCTGCTGTGGTCCTCTTGCTCAGCCTTTTCATGACAGGTCAGATGCTCCTTGCTTCAAGGACACCATCTAAATGGTGACCCTCCAGGAGGGAAGCGTGCTCAGAGGACATGAGGTATGCCACCCTACACCTCCTTCCTCTCTCTGCAGGCCACAGTCTGCAGCCGACGATGACACCTCAGTGGAGCTGCAGAGGCTGGCAGACGCAGATGCGCCCTCAAGGGGAAGGCGTGGCTTCCAGAGGTAGGTGACAACATGGGGTCTGTTGGAGAGGGCCCCGTGGCTCTTGTCCTCTCGGTCAGTGCCACAGAGACCTCTGGGAAGTAGCACCGTGAGCCCAGCGAGGAACCAGTAAAGGGTCCAACCCTTGCAGGCCGCTAGGTAGCTGGGGACTCCAGAGTGACATCCAGAAGCCTGGGCTACCCCTTCTCGTGGCCTGGTCTAGGAAACAAAGCCTTCATCCTTTCCCCACATACTTCCTGATCACTGTCACCGCCCATTCAGACGCACCTCCTCCAAAAAGTCTTCCCAGAACAACCCTTCCCCATCAGGGCTGCCTACCAGTCATGCCTGAGGTCCAGGCCCCCCACCTTCAGTGCTCCTCAGCCTTGCTCTTTGCACTGAGATGGGGACTCCTCCTTGTCCCGTCTCCCCCATCAGCGGTGAGCTCTTGGGGCGGGTACTGTCTGAACCTCTGTGTCTCCCTCTAGGATCGTCCGCCTGGTGGGGGTCATCAGAGAATGGGCCAACAAGAATTTCCGAGAGGAGGAACCCCGACCGGACTCATTCCTTGAGCGCTTCCGGGGCCCTGAGCTCCAGACCGTGACAACACAGCAGGGGGATGGCAAAGGCGACAAGGAAGGCGACGGCAAGGCCAAGTATAGCTGCACTCTCAAGCCTGCGACTGGGGGCCCTGGGGGGGTTTCACTCAGAAGGACCAGTGGGGTTCTGTATACCACTCTCAGTGTCACCCAGGCCTATCACTACCTCTGGTGTGGTGTCTCCCCAAAACATCTGCCCAGCTTGGCCAATAGCCAGTGTCCTCCGGCAGCCTTTCTAACCATCAGTGACCCTTGCTTCTTGTCCTCCTACTTATAAGCAAAGAGTAGGCCACCTAAATATGGACAGGAATGGGGCTCAGCCAAGGGTGTGCAATTCCCACCCCCATCACACAAACACACACACACTCACTCACACACACACATACTCACACACACTCACACACATTCTCTCTCACACACACACTCACACACACACTCTCTCACACACAGTCACACACACTCTCTCACATACTCTCACAACACTCTCTCTCACACACACATGCTCTCACGCACTCTCTCACACACTCACACACACGCTCTCACATACACTCTCTCTCATATACACACTCACTCACACACACACACTCTCATACACACATTCTCACACACATGCTCTCTCCCATACATACTCTCTCATACACACACACTCTCACACACTCTCACATACTCACACACTCTCTCTCACATACATACTTTCTCTCACACTCTCTCTATCTCTCTCTCACACACTTTCTCACACACACTCACACACACTCTCTCACATACTTTCACACACACTCTCTTTCACACACATACTCTCACACACTGTCACACACACACTCACACACACTCTCTCACATACACTCTCTCACATACACACTCTCACACACACACTCATACACACACACTCATACACACTCTCTCTCACATACTCTCATGCACACTCTCACACACACTCTCTCATACACACATACAAACATGCTCTCTCTCACACACATACTCTCTCATACACACACACTCTCACACACTCTCACACACACACACACTCTCACATACACTCTCTCTCACATACACACGCACACTCTCTCTCACACACACACTCTCTCTCTCACACACACACACACACACACACACACACACACACACACACACTGGCCCTGTGTCAGTTCCCGAAGACAGTACATGTGGAGAGGCGCAATTAGGGAGCATGCTGGCGGGGATGCCAATATCCACACGGTGCGGGTGCCGAGCTGGGGCAGTACGAGGGGGGCTGGCAGCAGTTGAGCAAGAGGGAGCAGCAGAGCACAAGGAGAGGGCGGAGATGGGGCCTATGCTCTGAGGAATGAGTAGGCGAGGCCAGGGGGCTGGGGCGGATGTCTGGCCGAGCTGACACCCTACACCTCTGGCCAGTAGAGGAAGAGAGGTCTTGCCAAGGCAGGATGCAGCAGCTGGGAAAGTGATTTAGGGGCTGGAAGCTGGGAACGGAGCAGGGAGGGTGGGGTGGGCAGGAAGCACGTGGCGCTCACTTGCCTGAACTTCCTCTCTCCTCCCAGGAGCATTGGGAACCCGCTGGGGGCCTCGTTACCATCTGTGGGAAGCCTGCCCCAAGCCTTGCGGGCTGTCCCCACTGAAAGCACTGTCCCTTGCCAGGCTCCCTGAGCTCCCGATAGGAAGATGGTGTCCCTCACCGACCCAGAGGCTCAGTACCAGGGGCTGAGGCCCTGAGAAAAGGGACCTCTGTTCTACCACCACGCACATCCGCTCAGGCATTCATTCACGTTTCTTTCACATTGAAAATGTTTTTCTCTCCATATTATATTTTACCATTTCTTGATCTCAGAACTGATAGGTCAATCCCTCCTCTACTCTCTCCAGGCCCTTTTTCCTTCTCCTTTCCCCCAGCCAGTTCCCTGGGGCCTTGCATTGACAGAGCAGTGGGGGTACTGCAGACCTGGTCCCCAAAGCTGGTCTTTGTCTGTGTCCTCAGAAAGAAGTTTGAACTCTTTGTGTTGGACCCCGCTGGGGACTGGTACTACCGCTGGCTGTTCGTCATCGCCATGCCTGTGCTGTACAACTGGTGCCTGCTGGTGGCCAGGTGAGCACGGAGGGCCTGGGGGCAAAGCTGTCCTGTCCCTGGCTGTGTGGGTGAGGCACACCGTGCTCGCGCTCGCTGTGGACACAGGTCTCACCCCGATGCCATCTTCTTTCTGGATTCCCTGCTTGCTGTGGCACTCCCTCTGCCATCTCAACCTCCTTAGCCTAATATTCCACCCACACATCCTGTCTATCCCTTTTCTGCTCTGTCATCTATCACTGCTTCTTTAACTATGCACCAAAGCTTCCCTAGGTGTGACCTCCTTCCTCTCTTTCGGGACTGACCCCCGGGTCCTCTAGCCATTCCTAGCCCACTCCAACACGCTGCCCACTCTGTCAGCTAGATCCCAGCATTGACTGGATCACAAACAGCCCACACAGCCTGCCCGGACCCCAGGACTTGCCCTGCTCTCTAGCTCCACCTTCTGGATACACCCCAGCTCCTGTCCTCGGAGTTCTGGCAGCTGAAGTTGTTTTCTCCACACAAAATAAATGCCTCTCGACTATTTGCAAACCCTGGAGATTGTTCTGAAAGGCTCAGCTTCACAGTCAACCCGCCTCAAGCAGAGATGTGACTGAGCAGTCGTTGGGCACTAGACTGCTTGCCCAGGGCTGGGAAGAGTGTGACCTCTGCCCAGGACCCATCTCACAAACTAGTTGAACTGAAACGCCCAGCGTGGTTTCGGGAACAGTGGCCTAGAGAAAGGGGCTCCCTGAGGAGGGCATTTCCCCGCTGAGATCTGAGCTGCCAACTGAGTTACCTGAGGTGGGACCATTCTGGCAAGAGACACGAGGAAGGCCCGGGCTTGTGGTGACCCAGGGTGGCTGGAGCCGGGGACACTGAGTGAGTCATCAGCAAGGCAGGCACAGGATGCTTCCGGGGAGAGGATACTGGTGCTTTCTCCTGTATTGTTCATCCTCAGGAGACTCACCACATCGTCACTCTGTTTTCTTTGTTTGTTTTTATATGCAAAGAAGGAACAATTTTTTATTGAATCGCCATGAGAAACAGTTACAAAACTTCCATGTTTGAGTTTCAGTCATACAAAGATTGAACACCCATCCCTCCGCCAGTGTACATTCTCCAGCACCAATGTCTCCAGTATACCCCCTCTTTCCAACCCTCCCCTGCCTCTGTGGCAGACAATTTCCCCCATGCTCTCTCTCTACTTTTGTGTCACCGTGTTTTCAGTTCCCTTCTCTGCCCTGAACCAAAGCCCCACCCCCCATTCAATTACCAAGTTTTGCCAATTCTGCCTAAAAGTCATCTGCAGCCTCCAACATCTCCCATCCTCGCTGCTGTTGTCCAGGGTCTCTCACCCCCTCTCCCTTTCTCTCGCTCTTTCTCTCTCTCCCTCCTTTTTCCTCTCCCTTCCTTCCTATCCCTCGTCCTCTCCCCCCTCTCTCTGCATGGATTGACTCATGCCCTGAAGTGGGTTGCCCTTAGGTATATGTTGAAGAGATGAGCACGCATGCGACCATTTGTGTATTCTAGTTTGCTTTTCAGATGACTCATTCACCCCTCAAGCACTTGAATCCTAGTACTCTGGGCTAGGGCATGGGTCATGCAGTGAAGACTTAGAAGTGGTCTCTGTCTTGTCAGGGTCCACAGTCCAATGGCTTAAGCCAAAACTAGTCAGTGGTCACTGTAGCACTGTCCTTCGTTGTTCATCAATTTGCTCGAGCAGGCCCAGTAACGTCTCCATTGTGAGACTTGTTACTGTGTTTGGCATATCGACTACGTCATGGGTAGCTTGCCAGGCTTTGCCGTGAGAGCACATTACTCTCGGTAGCTTGCCAGGCTCTCAGAGAGGGGTGGAAGAATCGAACCCGGGTTGGCTGACCCGGCTGCATGCAAGGCAAACACCCTACCTGCTGTGCTATCACTCCAGCCCTAGTCAGTGGTAATATATATATTATATTTATATATGTGTTATATATCACATCACACTGTCACACTGTCCTCCCGTTGTTCATCGATTTGCTCGAGCGGGCCCAGCAACATCTCCATTGGAGACTTTGTTGTTACTGTGTTTGGCATATCGAATACATCACGGGTAGCTTGCCAGGCTCTGCCAAGCAGGAGAGATACTCTCGGTAGCTTGCTGGGCTTTCCGAGAGGGGCAGAGGAATCGAACTCGGGTTGGCCATGTTGGCTGCGTGCAAGGCAAACGCCCTACCACTGTGCTATCGCTCCAGCCCATATCACATATGTATACATAATATATACTACCACTGACTAGTTTTGTCTGTGTATATATATTGGCATATATACTGATATCGATGAAAGAAGGGTTGCACTAGAAGTTGCTTATCTTGGCACCAGGCTGTGACTCATTAGTGTCCCTGTTAGCTATCACAAGTCTGGCACCCAGTGGGCACTTCATTTGGGACCTCAGAGGGACCTTGGTGGGGTTGGAGTCTAAAGACCAGCCGTGTTGTCCTACAGAGCCTGCTTTAGTGACCTGCAGAAGGGCTACTACATAGTGTGGCTGGTGTTGGACTACTACTCAGATGTTATCTACATCGCAGACCTCTTCATCCGGCTGCGCACAGGTCAGTGAGCTCCTGGAACACACAGGAGGAACATAAGTTCCTAAGGACTGAATTAAAAATTCGGGCAGCTTGCTCAACATTGTGTTAGCCTCAACAATCTGGTTGGAACTTGTATTGGTACCCCCTCCTCCTTGAGCCTCATGGTTATGGAGCTACAGACCCGGGGACGGGGGTGTGTATGGGGAAATGGTGAAATGGTACCTTGGCTCAGTCCTGCAATGTGAGTTTCTTCTGCCCCTCCATGGAGAGGAGGGTTGAGTGAGTATTGTGTCCTCTGGGAATGACAGGTCTGAGGACAGAGGTGACATGTTGCCTTGTATCGCCACTAGGTTTCCTGGAGCAGGGGCTGCTGGTCAAAGATCCCAAGAAGTTGCGGGACAACTACATCCACACTCTGCAGTTCAAGTTGGATGTGGCCTCCATCATCCCCACAGACCTGATCTACTTTGCTGTGGGAATCCACAGCCCAGAACTGCGCTTCAACCGCCTGCTGCACTTCGCCCGCATGTTTGAGTTTTTTGATCGCACTGAGACGCGCACCAGCTACCCCAACATCTTTCGCATCAGTAATCTCGTCCTTTACATCTTGGTCATCATTCACTGGAATGCCTGCATCTACTATGCCATTTCCAAATCTATTGGATTTGGGGTTGACACCTGGGTTTACCCGAACATCACTGACCCTCAGTATGGCTACTTGGCTCGAGAATACATCTATTGCCTTTACTGGTCGACACTGACCCTCACCACCATTGGAGAGACACCACCTCCTGTGAAAGATGAGGAGTATCTGTTTGTCATCTTTGATTTCCTGATCGGTGTCCTCATCTTTGCCACCATTGTAGGAAACGTGGGCTCCATGATCTCCAACATGAATGCCACCCGGGCTGAGTTCCAGGCCAAGATAGATGCCGTCAAACATTATATGCAGTTCCGCAAAGTCAGCAAGGAGATGGAAGCCAAGGTCATTAGATGGTTTGACTACCTGTGGACCAATAAGAAGACTGTGGATGAGAAGGAAGTTCTTAAGAATCTGCCAGCCAAGCTGAGGGCAGAGATAGCCATCAACGTCCACCTGTCCACTCTGAAGAAAGTGCGCATCTTCCAGGATTGTGAGGCTGGTCTGCTGGTGGAACTGGTTTTGAAGCTCCGACCTCAGGTTTTTAGCCCGGGAGATTACATTTGCCGCAAAGGGGATATTGGTAAGGAGATGTACATCATCAAGGAGGGCAAGTTGGCAGTGGTGGCTGATGACGGTGTCACTCAGTATGCCTTGCTTTCAGCGGGGAGTTGCTTTGGAGAGATCAGTATCCTCAATATTAAGGGTAGCAAAATGGGCAATCGACGTACAGCCAATATCCGTAGTCTGGGCTACTCAGATCTCTTCTGCTTGTCCAAGGATGATCTTATGGAAGCTGTGACGGAGTACCCTGATGCCAAGAAGGTTTTGGAAGAGAGGGGCCGGGAGATCCTGATGAAAGAGGGGCTGCTGGATGAAAATGAAGTGGCCGCCGGCATGGAGGTGGACGTGCAAGAGAAACTGGAGCAGCTGGAGACCAACATGGAGACCCTGTACAGCCGCTTTGGCCGCCTCCTGGCTGAGTACACGGGGGCCCAGCAGAAGCTCAAGCAGCGCATCACGGTTCTGGAAACCAAGATGAAGCAGCACAATGAGGATGATTACCTGTCAGATGGGATGAACAGTCCTGAGCCAGCTGCTGCTGAGAAGCCATAAAGGTTGTGCTAGAAGAGCCGTGTAGGTCCCCACAGGATTTTCATTGCCTTTGGGCCCTGCTGAGTATCTCCCAAAGTTTTTCCCTCCCCATTTTGGCATCCAAACATCCAGGAGCCCCTTCCAAGTAAAGATGATAGCTGAGCTTGGTCATAGTAGGGACAGGATTGGCTCATTTTCTGGGAGTTTTGGACTGTCCAACTCTGAGAATGAAGAAGGGAAGCATCTGAGCTGCCTTCAAGGGCTCTGGCATGTGACTCGGAGCCTGGACAATGGTGTGCCCCCTGAATTATCTTCAGGACAGCTTCCAGCTAAGATGCTCCCCTCTCTCTGGGCTCCTTTGCATTTAGCTACTTACCACTTAGTCCCGGCCATTGCTTTTCTCATTGATTCTCAACATCCCCACTTCCCTGCACATGTAGATAGTTGGGTCATCTGTGCAGTATTTAGCACAGGTACCCAGTGTCTGTCTCCTATGACAGGCAAAACGTGTGTAGGGGGCATGAGGAGAGTGTTTGTTTGGGCTGTTTTTTCCTGCCACGAGGTGCATCTCTTGCTGTTTGTCTCCTTGTCTATCAACCAGGAAAGGGGAAGTCTTGGTGGCCTTCCCTGGGCCAGAAGGAAGATGATGATTTGGACCCATTTGGGGTTGGGGACTAAAGCACAAGGTGATGGACAGGGGCCAAGCAGGCGATGTGAACTGGAGGAGGTTGTGGATGACAAGCTCTGGATGACGTTCCTCTCTGCAGAGAATGTCCGAAGAGTTCCCAAAGGCTGCTGCTTATGGTGGGGGAGACTCTTCCAGTTCTTGTTGGCAGTAGACACTTGCGAGTCAATAAATTCCTTCCAACTATTTGTGGTCATTGCTCAACTCTGCTACTAACATCCTCGCCTTCCTCTCTATTTTTCCTCACTTGTGTTTTTCTCCGTCTCCAAATCACTCTGCAACTCTGCAACTCATTCTGCCATCAGCCTACACCCTGCCAGTTCTTCAGGACTCAGTGCAGGCACTACCTTCTCTGAGAAGTTCTTCTTTGATGCATCTGTTTCCACTCAGCAGGCCACAGCCTCCTCCAGGCTCCCAGAGTGCTGGCGAATCCCCGTGGCTCTTTTCTGTGTGGCTGGCTTCCGTGCACTATTTCTCTGCCTCCAGCCTTTGTGACATACCTGGCAAAGATGGTGTTGAGGAAATGTTTGTTCCTGGGAAGGCATACCCCGATGCTTGGGCTTTCCTTTTGCTGGAAGTCATGTATGGAGGGAAACCCTTGCTGTGCATGGGAAGTTGGGGAGAAAGACTTGGAGGAGCAAATATCTGAGTGGAGGGTCACGGGATGTTAGAGACTCCACAGGACACTGCTAGGTAACGGGTAAGCAGATCTACAAACAGATTCAGATGCCTTTGTGCACACCAGTTTCTCTCCCCCCTCTCACTGATTATTTATAGGACATTAGAGATAAAATATTCCCAGCTTACCATTTTGTGGCCACATCCCCAGCCCCGATAGCTTGGGAGTGTTCAAGCACATTGTTGGGAAACAAATCTCCAGAACTTTTTCCATCTTCCAATTGAAATTCTCCCACTCAACACTAACTCCTCATTTTTCCTTCCTCAAGTCCGATACCCATCTGGCTGCTTTTTGTCTAATTTTGGTGACTCCAGAGACCTTATGGGAGTGGAATGATGCACGAGCCTTTTGCGTCTGGCTGATTCCACTGAGCCTCAAATCCTCACGGTTCATTCATACTGTACCCTAGGTCAAAATTTCCTTCCTTTTAGGTTTCCATTGCATGTCTGGAGCACATTTTCTTGAGCCATTCATCTGTCTATGGGTATATGGCTTAGTTCCCTTATTCTGATGACTGCACTCACTGATGCAGTGAACATGGGTGAGCAAACATCTATTCAAGTGCCTGCTTTCACTTCTCTTGAGTAGATGGATGTTCAGAAGTGGAATTGATGCATCATACAGTAAATCCTTTTTAATGTTTTGAGGAAGTTCCTTATTTCTTTCTACAGTGACTGCCAAGGAGCCCAATCTTTCTGCCTTCTCAAAAGGTCTGTTTTCTGCTTTCTTTTGTTTTGTTTTGTTAGTGACCATCCTAATGATTCTGAGGTGGAAGCTCCTGATGGCTTTGATTTGCATTTTCCTGATAGTATATGATAATGGACATCTTTCCATGTAGCCTTTGGCCACCTGTTTGTCCTTTTATTTGAATTAAAGCATGCAGTGTCTACTTAGGCCTTTCCTCATATTTACTTGGGTTGTTACTGTAGAGTTTGCATAAATTCTCGTGTTATATCCATAGTTTGCGGTTTTCCCATTTTTGGGCTGTCTTTTCTTCTCACTGATTATGTCCTTTGATGAGCAGAAGGTTCCTTTTGTAATTTAGTTCTAACTGATCTTTTTGACCCTCATTGAGTTTTCTTGTCACTGTTCACTGTTGTTAAAATTTCCTTATTTAAGCAGATCTCTTCCAAATTAAGTGAAATGTCTTGCTCTTTCCCTAGCTTATACTAATTAATTTTGTCATTTATTTATCATCAGGGGGCACATCCTGGAGCCCAGACAGTGCTGAGGAGATAATCCAGGCTCATACATGCAAGGCGTGTGCTTTGCCACTTGAACCCCATCTCTTGCTTTGCAATGATTAATCTGAATCAGAACACATTCACCAGGTGTGATCTGCAGTATCCCTAACGTCGAGGCCCTGCCCTATAAAAGCACAGGGGCAAGGAGCAACCTCCATGAGGGAACAGTGTTCGTACGTACATCCCCTTACTTGGTGGGGAGAAGGATGTGAGCTAAAATAAAATTCTCAGTCTCTTCACTTCCCAGAGACCAGTCAACAAGAAGCAGAGCCCAAAGAGACCAAGCCAACTGCTTGCCCCAGCTCTTACTGCTAAGGCTACACCCGCCCCCCACCCCCCGCCTCCACCAAACTCTGTTTTCGCCACACACAGAGATCTGGGCTAGGTATGAATGCGTTTTGTAGTCCTAGGATGCAATGCGCTCTAGAGACAGGAGGAGAGTGCATTGGAGAATTGTTCCCTAGGCTTCAGCAAGGACTAGGCAGCGTTCCCATGGGTCTGCACCCCTCGGTCTAGCCCCAGTGGCAGCCCAGTTTCCAGCCCGTGTTGGAACATTCCTACTTTGGACAAACTGACAGGCTACCGAATGTAACCTGCCCACACGGCAGAGTCTGGCAAACTCCCCGTGGCGTACCCAATATGCCAAATACCAGTAACAATGATGGGTCTCATTCTCCTAACTCTGAAAGAGCCTTGAATATGGCACTTTAAAAAAAAAACTCAGGGCTAGGATGAAGGACACGTTACTGGGGCCTGCTCGAGGCAATCGACGAATAACAGGATGGTTGTGATTGTGATTGATTGTGTTGGAACATGGACCTGCTTCCGGCAGGGTGAAACAGATGGCTCCTGCATCACGTAGGCTGCCCGCTGGTGTGAGGCACAAACCTCAGGGTTAACCCTTGCCCCAGACCTCCCAGCTTTTGTTTGCCCAGATACGTGCTCCCCCGCTGAGGCAGGCAACGCTCCTCCCTGTCTGTGTCCTCTCAAGCTTCCAGAATTTTCTTCATGTTCTTCTTGCCCCTGGATTGCCTTTCCTCTGGGACTCAGTTCTCACCCACTTCTCAGAAGCTCTCTAGAGAGACTTCCACGAGAGACTCTCTTGCACAGTGATCTGCGAAGATCTGCTTAGCAATTGGTCTTTTCTCAACTTCACGCAAAGAACTGGTGAACACTGTGCACGTATGTGTGTGTGTCTGGGTGCTCAGTTGCTTGCACATAAAATGGCTGCCTTTGTGGCCATGTGGACTTAAGGCTGGACAAACTGTCCCCTCCTCTCTTCTACCCCTCCTGCCCCCACACCAGCTCCATATTTTGTCGATCTCTGCCAGGCCTTGGGTCTCTCTCACCTGTTACCAGCCACCATCCCCGATTCTTTCCCCCAACATAAAAACCAAAGTACATTTTCGGTTATGTCTTGGATTTATCCAGCACAGCTGATGGTCTGAGTTATTTCTTTTAAAATGTTTAAGTAAGAATAGCCTTTTCTTCCCTCTGAAAATACCCGACCAACGGAAATTGTCCTGCTTGCATGTGGCCTGTCAATTTTCTTGTCTGTCTTGGTGATCTTCTATAGAAAATGAAAGCCACTCACTCATCCGTTAGCTCCAACCCTTTTCCCTCCAGCTCTCGTGGCCCCTGCCTGCTGGGACTCTGCCACTTGCCTCCACTTAACCCTCCCAGATAGCCTCAGTAGCGTTGCTTGTCCTTAGCCAGGGGTCCACCCACACAGCCAAGACTGAGATCTTACTCCTTCCTCCAAATGGGGCTTTAGCAGAGGGTCCTGGGCGCTTTTGTGTCACCTGGAAACAAGCTTAGAAGCACCCGGTACCCAGAGATGCGAATCTGACCACCAGAGGGCGCATGGATGCAGGGAAAGCTGGTGGATTCTCCTGGAATGCCCGTTGTGCATAGGCCCGAGCAGGACCCTGGGCCGGCACAGACTTCACTGGGCTCTGGGGCCTGGTCTTCCTCCCCACCACTGCTCCCAGCGGCAATGTCTGCTAGCAACTGGACATAGACCCAATGGGCGAAGGGGCTGGGGATGGGAGGCTGGGACTGAAGGTTGTCACTTTTTCATGAGCTGTATCACTGTATCACTATCATCCCGTTGTTCCTCGATTTACTCTAGCGGGCGCCAGTAATGACTCTATTCCTCCCAGCCTGAGATTTTAGCAGCCTCTCTTGGAGGCTCTTTCAGAGTCAGGGGAATGAGACCTGTTATCGTTACTGTTTTTGGCATATTGAATATGCCACGGGGAGCTTGCCAGGCTCTGCCTGTGCGGGCGGGATACTCTTGGTAGCTTGTGGGACGGGATATTCTTGGTAGCTTGCCGGGCTCTCCAAGAGGCGCCCAGAGATGCAAATCTGACCACTAGAGCATTCAGAAAAAACATACTGAGACTTCAAAAAC